ACATCGATTTACAACACATGGTCAAGATTTCACCAAGCGAATTGTCATCGAAAGTAGGTACGTACATCCCACACCACTGCGTTACCAAGACGGACAGTTCGACTACAAGGCCACGTGTTGTGTTTGACGCCTCTTGCCGTACCGACAACGGCATTGCCCTCAACCAAATTCTCCGCGTTGGTCCGACATTGCAAGACAATATATTTACAATATTGCTTCGTTTTCGCACACATCGTTATGTTTTAATGGCCGACATAACGAAAATGTACCGGCAAATTATGGTCGATGAAAGAGATGCGAAATGGCAATGCATCTTATGGCGAAATTCTCCAAGCGAGCCGGTGACCACCTATCAGCTACAGACAGTAACATACGGAACTAGTTGTGCTCCGTTTTTGGCAGTGAGATGTCTACAGCAATTGGCTTACGACAACATCTCCACCCACCCAATTGGAGCTACTGTCACTCTGCGAGACTTCTATGTCGACAATCTGATGACAGGGGGCGCCACAATTGAAGAAGTCAAAGCAATCAAAAGGGAAGTCATCGATTTACTCGCCAAGGGAGGGTTCCCTCTTCGAAAATTTGCAGCAAATCATCAGAGCATTATCGACGACGTTTCAGAGACGGACAAGGAACCCGTAATAAACGTTGAAAACATTGCCTACATCAAAACGTTAGGATTAAAGTGGTCGCCTGCTACCGCTTGTTTCTTTTTTTCATACACACCGTCTCAGAAACGGCTGCAGAAGGCCAGCAAGCGCATGATACTCTCGCAAATAGCCAGCTTCTTTGACCCACTCGGCCTTATAAACCCCATCATCGTCCCATGCAAAATAATGATGCAAGAATTATGGAAATTGCGCTTAACCTGGGACGAAAGTGTACCTCTGGCGATTCAAACACAATGGGCCGATATATGTAACCAACTCACCTTCATCGAAAAAATTCATCTTCCAAGGTTCGTATGTTTTAACTCTAGCACTGAATTGCATGCCTTTGCAGATGCGAGTACCAAGGCTTACGGAGCGTGCGTATATGCTGTTTCTAACGCTGATGGAGGCCCACATTCATCGCTTATCGCGGCAAAGTCAAGAGTAGCGCCCACTAAAGAGACCACCCTGCCAAAATTAGAATTATGCGCTGCTCTGTTGTTGTCAGAATTACTGGAATCATTGGTAGCCACACTCACTATTAATGCACGCAACATATACTGCTGGTCTGACTCCACGATTGCCCTGTCGTGGATACAGGGTGAACCATCGCGTTGGACTACATTTGTAGCTAATAGGGTAGCAAGAATACAGCAGATCACAGCGGGATACACTTGGCGTCATGTATCGTCTTCGGAAAACCCTGCTGACTTAGTGTCGCGGGGAGTGACGGTGCACAACCTCATCAACAACCAGTTGTGGTTCCACGGACCACAATTTATACAATTACAACAACAGCACTGGCCTTCCAGTCCAATGAAGGCCATTATTAATATGCCAGAGCAGCGCAAGCAACACCACACCCTTTTAGTAACGCAGGTTGAAGACATCGTTGCTGAACACAAATTCGTAAATAATTATTTTAAGCTTCTTCGAATATTTGCTTACGTTCAACGTTTCCTCGACAAACTTCGCAAATTACCAACTGAGCCTGGCGCCATAACCACTCCGGAATTGAACGACTCTTTGATGCTAGTTCTTCGCTACCTTCAGCAACAATACTTTCCTCAAGAATACAAGGCGCTTCAGAAAGGCAGAGTGAGTCCACAGTCTAGTTTAAATCTACTCTCGCCCTTTCTACACAACCAGATAATTCGCGTTGGGGGGAGAATCACCAATTCATCACTGCCATTCGACGCTAAGCACCCCATTGTACTACCGAGGTCACACCCATTCGTTCGCACTATCATCGAACACCTTCATCGTCGTCATTCGCACGCTGGGTGCCAAACGCTGCTGAGCATCGTAAGAGACAAATTCTGGGTCATAAATGCTCGCAGCATAATAAGGCAAGTAGTACACCGTTGTACTTTATGTTATCGCAATAAGCCACAGCTTCAAGAGCAACTCATGGGAGCGCTGCCACGGGAGCGAGTTGAACCGTCACATCCATTTGCGGTAACGGGCATCGATTATTGTGGACCTTTTCTCATCACACAACGCGTACGAGGTAAGGGCCCTGTCAAGGTATACATTGCTGTATTCATTTGCTTTACAACGAAAGCAGTCCATCTTGAGCTTGTTCCTGACTTGACTACCATGGCGTTCATAGCTGCTTTAAAGCGCTTTATCGCCCGTCGTGGTAGATGCCATACGATGTTTTCCGATAATGCGACAAATTTTGTACGAGCGAATCGCGAGCTTAAAGAGATGCTGACATCATTCAAATCCCAACAACACATCGCTGCGGTTGAGGGCTTCATGGTTGAGGAGGGGATAATTTGGAAGTTTATTCCCCCACGTTCGCCTCACTTTGGGGGGCTATGGGAAGGCGCTGTGAAGCAAGCCAAATTCTACCTACGTCGTACAGTTGGAACAAATATTCTATGCTTCGATGAGCTACACACGGTTTGTTGCCAAGCCGAAGCCATGATCAATAGCCGACCCCTCACACCATTGTCGAGCAGCCCAGATGATCTTCGTGCCTTAACTCCAGCACATTTTTTGATTGGTCAAAGTTTCCAGAGCCATCTTTATCACACATCAATATGGGTAAGCTGAAAAGGTTTCAAGGCATTACAGCAGCAGTTTTGGCAGCGATGGCAAGCTGAATATTTAAGGGAGTTGCAAGTGCGAACGAAATGGCGAATAGCCCGAGAAAACGTAAGGGTTAATGATTTGATGCTCGTAAGGGACGAGAATACCCCACCATTGAAATGGCCATTGGGACGCATTGTAGAAACAGTGGCAGGTGATGACGGCATGGTACGAGTCGTCGTAGTACGGACTGCCGATGGGACTCATAAACGAGCAGTTGCCAAGATTTGCAAGCTGCCTATCGAATCACCTACAGAACAGGAGTAATTGTTGAAAGCAAGGCTTTCAAGGGGGAGGATGTTCAGGGACGGCAACTAGTGTCGCACCTTTTACCATCGTTGATATTTGTCGCACCCTTTATTATCGTTGGGCGAAACGCTACGTCATCTCACACACTCTTCGCATCTTCGTTGTCATCACCCCCTCACTCTCTTCGAAGGGAGTTTCAAGCGCACTCTTTCATCGCACCCCCACCTCACTCTTGCGCGTGACATCCACCTTAACATCGAGTTCTATACCAACGCCAAGCAGCGGAACTCACGCCACCTACGACCAACAACCCAACATAGCAAATAATGTCCCGCTAGCGGCCTGAGTAAAAAAATAATAACTGGTTTTTTTTTTTTTTTTTAACGAGGAGGAAGCATCGAAAGCCTATACCCGTCAGTGTGGGACTTTAACCCGAACTAAACCTCCTACTGTCCGAGTACCGAACCCCCCGGTACCACCGTCAAGTATTTCGTCGGGAGGCGGTTGAGCACTAGACTCGCACGTTCGTTCCAGTCGGTTGTACTCAGTCCTGGGCTACGCCTGGTAGGCTTTGCCACGTCTTGTTTAAGGATAATTACCCTTTTTTAACTATTTATTCATTTATCTCTTAGATACCACTTATTATTTTCGCCTTTATAGACAGTAAGAGCAAAAACCTTAAAATGCCTTATGCGACGAGTTTCAAGCCCGCATACGTATGTATATTGCCTTTGCGGTTTGAACGGTCTAGGTTCCAATCCGCACCAACGCCCCGTGTGGACGAAATTCGAAACTGCACTTTATTTGCGGCTGGAACGCCCTAGGTTCCAGTCCGCGCCTATTTTCGATTGCAATAGTTTTTCGATATTGCCACTTGGGCGGCTGGAACGCCATAGGTTCCAGTCCGCGCGTATTTATCGATTTCACAAATTTTCGAGATTGCCACCTGAGGGGCTGGAACGCCCTAGGTTCCAGTCTGAAAGCACAACTTTCTAAGCCGCACTGCTCGAGCGGCTGGAACGGCCTAGGTTCCAGTCCGCGCCTACGCTTTGGTTGGTGAACATCATAGTTTAGTTCCAGTCCGCGGCTATGCTAAGAGTTGGCTGAAGCACGGCTGATACGCCGCTGTCTCTCTTGGTCCCTCAGTTCCTTCAAAATCGAAGTTAGTGTATCGCTGGTGGATGCCCATTCGCTGGTTCCTTTCACCATATAGTCGAATACTGACTGTGGCGTAAACACCCCTCCAACGGCAAGTTTAAGTTGGTTCATCTGCCGATGGAAACGAGGGCACTCAAAGAATACGTGGTGGACATCTTCTTCCACGCCACTTAGACAGAAGTCGCAGTAGGGGTCGTGCTCATGTTTGAATTTAAACAGGTATGCCTTAAAACAGCCCAAGAACTGGCTCAGATAAAAATCTACTTCGCCATGCGTTCTATTAAGCCAGGATACCAGGTTTGGTATGCAGCGATAGGTCCAACGACCTAATAACTGGTTACCTATGCAAATATGTATGTACATATGTACATCCATACGTACATATGTACATACATAAGTACATATGTACATATACACGAACATATGTACATATATACGTACGGATATACATACATATAACGCGACTAGAAATTACCTTTTGTACATTCTATGCTAATTCTGTAAAAACAATTACAGTCCATCGTTCGACACGGCCACACGTCTAATCTGGCATATTTTGATTTCTTAATAAAGTTCATTATTAGTTAAGCACATCAACGTTGTATTAATTTCTTTCTAAGGGCAACAAAAAACGCTTTGTGCCCCAACAATGGTAATGTAGATAAAATATTTGCCAGTTAATTATATTGTTAAATTGTACAAGTTCCCCTTCTCGGAAAGGCGCTGTAACTGTATTTTAACCGATTCCGAAAAATGAAACCAAATCCTTATCAAGGACCTTGCCATCCTTTGCTGCAACAATGCGTTTATCATAATTCATACTACACGACGGAGTCAGTGTAGGTTTACTGTTATTTTTCAGTGGAACTGAAAACTTAGCGTGGAACATGATCCTGGACACAACTTTCCCCGTGCTTTTGTCAACAATTAATTTAACTCAAAGTATATTAATTTTTCTTGGAAAATGTCTAACTATTAGTTAATTCTTTTTTCGATTACACAAATTTCCCCTATCAGTATTAGCAAGGATTCGTGATTTATAGATTGTACAAAGATTACCGATTAAATAAAATCCCTTAAGTGGGGTGCGAAACAAACTGACGAAGGTTTTTATTATATTTTGTTTTTTCATATTCTCTGTTTAAAAATTTACCTGGACAAATGGCGTCCTTTATTTTGACAAAAATTATAAAGGACAGGGGGTTAAAATAAAGGGCTGTCCTTTAAAATAAAGGACGGCTGGTCACCGTAAGTATAGGCCCAACAAAAATAATAATTTAGCAAATATTCCCCGGCAGAATACTGAATCAAAAAACTGATTACTAAAACTGCTTTGAGTAGTTATTATCAAAACGCAAGAGGCTTCAATACTAAATTAACGAACTTATGTCTTAATGGCCTTGAATGCAATTATAATATAATTTCTTTCACTGAAACTTAGCTCAAATCTCACATTATTAATTCAGAGATTCTTTCAAAAAATTATCATATCTACAGAAAAGATCGGGGGGACGGAATCGGCGACGGCGTACTCTTTGCCGTAGACTCTTCAATACCATCTGAAGAAGTTAGTCTTCCAAAAATTGCATCTGCAGAATTCAAATGCATTCGTATACAGTTTGGAAGGGGGTTTACTTACTTAGCTCTATGCTATATTCCTCCCCGATCTGACTCATCAGTGTATTCACAACATGTCTCTTTACTGAAATCAATTAATACAATGATTAAACCCTCTGATTCAATGATTGCGTTGGGTGACTTTAATTTACCAAATGTATCATGGAACATCATTGACAATTTCTCGTCTAGTGCATGCAACAACGTATTTTTAGAGGAGATGGCTGAACTCTGCCTAAATAAAAGTTAATGTACTTCGCAATAAGTTTGGCAAAGTATTAGATCTTGGTTATGTTGATAATGCATCTAAGTCCGCTGTAAATAAATGTGACCCACTAGTTTTGCCCTAAGATGTCTGCCACCCTGCCATTGAGATATCTTACGAAATTATAAGCGATGGTCAAAATTGCGGTACCCAAGCATACGAACCAAATATCCGCTTTGAATTTTCGAAAGCCAAATTTAAAAAACTGATTAAAGAATTGTCTAAATTGTCGTGGCCTATATACATACAAAGAAAAGGTTGAGCAAAGCGTTGCACATTTTAATTTTACTGTACATCAAATATTTGAAAAGTATGTGTCTAAACGCATGTGTGTTCCTGAAGAACAAACACAGTTATGGTTCAGTAAAGAACCCCAATAAATATTCGGCTTGGTTTACAATTCGAAAATGATTGAAAACCAATATTTTTTCGAGTCTCACCTTAGATAACGAATGTGAAATAGGTTAGTATTCGATTCGAGAATTAGGTCATTCTCCAGCAAAACGGAGCCTTCGTTATCCAATGAATTTTTCTTTCGTTATGAATTCGCTATCCAGCCCATTATCGAATTGGAATTTTAATGAGAGGGAGTGATTTTCTTATATTTCCCTTCAAGAATGAGCTGGATTTCACTTTCTCTTCTGTTACTATGCACGGTGGGCAGGAAGCGAAGATAGGTTGCATAAAAATGTCGA